AAGAGTGATGAGGAACTTTTACATGCTAGGGAGACTGCGGCCTTTGGGATGAGCTCCTGTCAATCAGTTAGCACACGGCTGCAGTATCTGTTGGTTGGTTTATATGTAAGACTGCATTTTGAAATGGTCAAACAAAAACAGCCCCAAATGTACAATCATGAGACTGAATCATTACCAAAAACTCTAAAAGACTGGAAGCTTCCATTACACAGCCTACAGAAGCTGATGATCAGTCAGGTCAGTTTGTAAGTTTGTCCAGAGGCAACTGTTGTAGCTGGGGTTTCATTGACAGTCAGGCCTATTGTGAGGCTATAAAGATCAGTCAAAACCCACTCCCCTCCCCCCACCACATCCCCTCGTCTTTGCATCATTTGAATCAATAGAAATAATCAGCTGACTTGAAGCAGAATGTATGGATCATAAAAAATCTTGTTTTTATTTCTGTTAAGGAATATTCTTTGCTTTTCTTTTCCTCTCCTTTTTCCAGACGCCCCCTGGATCACACACAGATCCACAGAGTGAGAGGGCAAACTGGTGAGCAACCTGCTTCCAAGCCTCTGCCAATGCTCTCTGTACCAAGCCGGTAACCTGCCCTAAGACTGTCCACCTACACAAAGGAAAGAGTCTGGCCTCCACTGAGCTCCTTACCGCCCCCCACGCCCCCACCACAGCAACAGTGCAACCAAGGTTGACAATCCACGGTGTGGGAAATTTTATACCATAATTCAACCACATTGCCCTTGGTGCTATCATAATGTTTTCTCTGCAGTAGTTCCTTTGATACTTGTGAAATTTGGAACCTGATATTAGTTTTGCTAAATAATTTCCCTTCTGCTTCTCCCTGTTAAATATTGAAAAGAAAATCTTACTGTGACTCAGTGGATCCCAACTCACTGAAAGCATTAAGTCCCCGGGCTTACAGAAGGTCTAAAAGGTTAAGTACACTGCCCTGAAATGCAAATCACACCCAGTAAATGCTGAGAGGTCGGCACAGTTCCACAGCCAGACTTCATGTATGTGTGCTTGTCATTCAGGGATTTGCATGAGCTGAAAGCAGTACCTAGCATTTTCACTGACTCGTGCTTCAACCTGCTTTTGTACTTTTTTTAAAAAAATCTAGAAAACTTTTTTAATTGGAATAAGAAATTGCAATTATACGCAGTTATCAGGTTAAACAAGTCAGATCCAGTTTCTTTCAATTCTCACAACTTTGCAAGGTAACATTTTGAAAGGGGAGCGTGTTATTGGGTGCACTGTGCCTGGCACTTTAGAGTCTGCCGTGAAACTGGTGCTGTGATGGTGCTGTACAGTACAGCCCAGATTTATGTGCCTTGTATTTATTGCCCATGAATCTCTATAGACAAAAATCTTGCCTGCTTGCATCTGAATGTAGAGTGTCATGAGTGACTTCTGGGTGCAGAACACATCACTTAATCACTCACATCCCTCTCAACTCAGAATGGGGTGTTTCCTATTTTGAAGGTTTATTCTCTGTGCTCCCATTCATGTAATTCTGTTTGGAATGGAACAGGTGCTTCTGACATATTCCCCATCGTGGATTGCTTTAGCCTCATTTAATAACTAGTACCTGTGTTCGGCTCTATTAAATTTGCTCTGGGTAATAAATGCCACACAACAAGGTAACAGACAAGGTAAACCCCTCACAGTTAAACATAGGGAATCTTAGTAAAACAGCGACTCTTGCCCACCTGCATTGTGTGTGTGTTTTTAACCACTACTGATCCAGCTGCACACAGGAAGCCCGTAATTCTACCTACTCTTAGTCTGAAAAGCCATTAATCTTAAAATTTAAGAATGCGCAAAATTGTGAACAATTCTTACAATTAGTCTTAATTTGGACCTGATTTTCCAGTTCTACAAAAAGCACCTGATTTAGAGCCTAAAATTCACAAAATCGGTTCCGGACCACAGCACAGAGGGGTGAGTTGTTTTGGTATTTCCCTCCCAACCCCTCCTCCCAATTCTGTCCCCTTATCTTTCCTTTCTTGTGCGGATGTAGGAACTGGAGCAGCATTGGAGGAATTACTGGCATACGTTCTTGATGAGCACAGCACTCTTGAAAATTCTCATCTGGTATTTCTTAACCAGTTCACGTCATGCTGAAATGGACTTCTGAAAGGCCCTCCCTTGAAAGGTAATACATCCCTCCAGGTACAGTTCTATGGGTGTTCAGGACTTTATCCAAGCATATAATCTTCATATATGGGTCTGGACATTAAGTGGTCATTGTCAATTTGACCATGGAAAGTATCTCAGCTAAACTTGATCCTACATTCTCTCGCCATCCACATGTGTGCACTTTCCACCAAGGGTCACTGGATGGTGATAAATAGCAGGATTGCTGGCTGATTTATTATTTTTTACCTTCCCAGCTCAGAGACACTAAGGTAAACTGTTATCATCCCATAACAGCTCCAACTGAGATCAAGTAACTCAGCAGGGAGGAAGAATGGAATCTGGGAGGTTCCTGTTCAGCACAGAACCACCCCACATGGCACATTTACCAAGGAGGTGAATGGTTCAAGTTCTTTCAATTTACACTTGAAAATAGTATATCAGGACACAAGCGCCAGGACCAAAGGTTTTTGTAACATTAGCAATTGACCACAAACACGTATTTAATGTATCTGGAAGTTGAAATTTATGAATGCTGAAGTTAGTCTGTTCACGATTAATGATTGAGGATTTTTTCCAAACACAATGTGTAAAGTTTCAGCAGTTTTGACTGTGCTGGGGACACTACAAGCTCAATCGTGCGAGTGCACATAGCCCCAAGTTTCAGTATCTGCGCTGGAAGCTGGCGAAGTTCACCATCTGCTCGATTGGGAGATATGGCTGTGCCTTGTGTGTTCCTTTGAATGTCACAGTTTTGCGGCAGCCTGTTTGGCACTCACTTGTGGCTTTGTGTCATCATAGCCAACATGTGCATTGTTGATTCCACTTAGTGTTGAACACTTCCTTTATTTTAAGTTGAAGAAACCTACAAAAGCCATTTGGGGGCTTGCTGGTCAATTCATTAAAAGGACATAAGAATGAAAAGGACCAGCCTGGTTGCTTTCATGGCCCACGTTTGAATGCTGACACTATGGTGGGATGAATATCAGAATTTACTGGCTTCCCCTCAATAGGCAGATTTCATTAGTTCCCAGTAAGTAAGCCGTGAGACAAGTCTGTCTGTCAGCTGTCATAGAATGACTTTGGTAGCAATTATGGAAGCACAGGCTGAACCACAAAACCAGGCAAGAACATTAATGAGACAGCAGCAATGGTATCAAAAGGGGCAGGAAGGAATAATTTAAGAGCTCCAAGAAAGGTTTGAAAATCGTTTTGGTGGCTAAATCCTTAGGCAGAAAACACATGTAATTTGTCAGGCACAGGACCAGCAGGGGAGGAATTACAGGCTGCAGCACTCTGAAAATCTTGTATCTATTTCTTTGCTAAATCACTGGTGGCCTAGACTAGCAAGTGGACTTCCAAACGGCTCCAAATTTACACTTGTTCAAATTCAAGTGCTTTCGATAGGAGAACACTCAGAATTTTTTAAAGGAGGTCACAGCTTGGGATTTAAGTGCTGTCTCTTTTCTGTGAAGAAGGGGGAAGAGCTAGCAGAACATGTCTCACTTCCAGTGAAGCAGAAACCTTCCATGGGCCAATCATAAAATGGTGAAAATGGGTCTTTGAGGTTTGCAGTTCAGATTGTCCTCCCTTCCTGGCTGAATGAAAAAATGCAGCAGCAAACATGTTTAGGGGATAATAGGGAGGGAGGGAGGGAAAAAAGCATGTATGCTTAAAAAGTTGGGAGTAAAAAGCCTTCAACCCTCAAGGTTCATTTGGCTCATGTTGCCAGCCTATAAACGGTCTACTTTTAGTGATGGATCTCAACATTACCTGTAAAATCTCCAATTGCTCAAACTGCAGGTCGCACAAATCCTATACGGTGAAAAAGCAGCCTTGAAGCACCACTGCATTTCATTCTACCTAACAGGCGGCGGATAATGTTACATATAGACCAACCAAAAGGCAAACTGTGGCAGTAATCAGTGAAATTGTAATATTTCCAGTAGCGCACAATTTCAGCCCAGATCTTTCTGAGATGTCCCCATTCTGCAGATTGTGACATTGTGATTGGAGAAAACCAAGAATCAGAAAACCATGCTTTTAGAATCCGATATTATTATATCGCCTTGGGCAATGTTTTCGCTAAGCGTAAAATTGTTTCTATTTTTTCTGCAATATTTACGGTCAGCCGTAGCAGTAGCATATAATGTCCCTTTGTCCCAGCATTCAGCAACTTTCTTTTCAAAATAAATTAATTTTTTTTAGATTATTTGAATCTATGAATATCTTGATGTAAATTTTAAACTTAAACTGTCCATGCGTCCCTCTAGGATTCTAGCCGCGCTCCCTGTTAAAACTATTGGTGTAAAGGCAGATTAGTATCAGAGAAATATTCGGGGAATATCCAAATAAATGTGTTATAAATCAGAAAAGAATCTAACATGTTTACATTTTTAAAAAAATCATTACAAGATTTCTACCCGTTAGTGCTTAGTTTCTTCTTTCCATTCTATAACATAAATAAACATTTTTTTTTCTTGGTGTCTTGAACGGTTCCAGTGAGACTGGACAAGAGACGTATTCAATCATTTTGAAACAAAAGGAGGGGACTGATCTCCCTGTCCTCCCGCTTCACTGTGAACCTCAGCACATTGTTGGTGGGATGTTGGAGTGGTGCATCTCAGTCATTTCCAGTCTATACAGTATATTAGCACCAAGCAAGGCTTTGCTTTGTTTCCTCCTTCACAGAGTGAGCATTCTCCTCGTGCCCCACAATTCACTGCAAATTCTTCACACAATTTTGTTTTTGTGTGCGTTTTAAAGTATTGTCCACTTATTCCTGTGTTCTGAAGGTACAGGATACAGAGAACTTCTTATGAACAATATGGGGTGGTGGGGTGGAGATGGGGGGGGGGGGGGTGTAGGGAAGAGAGATGGTAAAGTGCGTGGCATTCTGGAAGTTGTAGAATGGTCACCTCCAACTTGTACCACAGATGTCAGACTAGCCGTAAAAATAGACTGCAGCTCCCAGAGTCCATGGCAATCGCTGCAGGGTTCAAGTGGCACCATTTGTATCCAATTGCATCTGACTCCAGTTTTGAGATGAATGCAAGATGGAAACATCAGCCAATCAAGATGCAACATCCTTTCAAGCAAAGGGTCATTTTATGTTATTCTTGTGAAAAAAGGTGATGTGCAAAATGATGCTGTGCTGAGATGTTTTCAAATTCCACTTTTTCTTTTTCTTCTTGCTTGCTTCCTCTCGGTCTGTCTGTATGTGTCTGTCTGTCACTCTCTCTTTGTCTGTCCCTCATTCTCTAGGACGAAGTGTCTCTATCTGTGTCGATCACTTCCTCATTTGCAGGTGAACACCTCCGTCCTTTCGCTGCACGTATTGCACTTGACGAAGCAGCACCAGTGGAACTTACAGTTGCACTGCCAGACTTTGGTGTACTGGTGGGTGTTATAGCCCCTGCCACAGCACATCAGGTCACAGCCATCTCCATGCTGTGAAGTGCGGTTACACAACCGCCCCTGCGTCCCCACGCTCCCTGTCGATCTGTCCTCCTCACAGTAGTTTGGTGATCGTTCGATATAAACTAAATCTGTGTCCATTGGTTTTCGATAGGTCCTGGGCTTCTTGATTTTGAGAAAGGTGGGCTGCCGTAGACGGGTTGCTCTCACTGCTTCCACGTGAACAGCCTCATTGTATTTTTCTTTCAAAACGTACCCAATTTCTCTGAATTTGGGAAGAGTTGTCCAACATGTCTTGGTCGTGCATGAACCAGAAACACCATGACATTTGCATTCCAGCTTCATTCTTTCATCCAGGATCTGTTGGAATAAATAATGAAACTTGTTCAGGATATTAAAACTATTCTTAATAGAGTGCAAATTTTAACAATCTGGGGTCACCTCAAAACTAATGTGCTTGATGGGCTAAATGACTTTTCTTAGCACAACATAGGGTCAGGTTCGATCCCCAGCTATCCTCTGTACCCCACATCTGGTCTCCTCCACCTCTGCCACATTGCCTATCTCCAACTGTACCTCACCCCAAAAGCTGCCAAAACCCTTGTTCACTACTTTGTCACATCCCGCCTCGACTACTCAAACGTCCTCCTCACTGGTCTCCCCTGCTCCACTATTCACAAAATTCAAATGATTAAAAACTCTGCCACCCGCATTCTTGCCTGCACTAAACTCTGTACCTCCATTACCCCAATCCTTGTCAAACTCCATTGGCTCCTTGTCACAGAGTGGATCGATTTCAAGATCCTCACTCTTGTTTTTAAATCCCTCCATGCCCTGGCACCCCCCATCTCTCCAACCTGCTCTTTCCCTACATCACTACCCGCTACCCCTGCTCGATTGGCTCCAGCCTCCTCCTCGTCCCCTCCGCCCCACTATCGGCCACTAGCCCCTGAAGCTGTGGAACTCTCTCCCTCAATCCCTTCGCCTTGCCCCCTCTCTTCCCATTTTCAGTCGCGCTTGAAAACCTTTCTCTTTGACCGTGCCTACAGTCACCTCCCACCACCTCGGAATCAGGCTCCACCACTGTTAAGCACTCCTAGACGCCGTCCGGTGTGAAGAGCGTTATATAAATGTTGTTGTTTCTCTGTTCTGTGCTTTATATTTATGTTGGAGCCTGGATTGCTCTGTTAATTTTCAGATGTGTGAGGCAACCAGCTCGCATCAGTGAACAAACAGTTCAGTGGGATATACTGGGGGCACAGACAGCTGATCTGGGTGTGAATCAAGTGCTTTAATTACTCTGATGTCCTCTGATCCACCACAGAGGCAATGCCCTTCTTTACAATCATGAGTCAGGGTGAACCATATCCCACTCCTTTTACTCATGCAGTTTGTGCTGTTTGATTTTCCTTCTCCTGTTGACAGTTCGGAATTCTGATCCAGTTTTCAGAATGCTACTGTTTTGCTGTTCCTGTTGACAGTCAGGAATACGGAATTTATTCTGAAAATGTGAGGGTACTGCTCACTTTTATTCGAACTGTTTACAATTTTTGGATTTGTTTTTCAACCAAGGCATCTCCAACAGCAGCTCATGATTGCTGGCAAGTCAATGGTTATACCCAACCGTACATTAATATGACCCAACATTGGGTGAAGCAAACTGATCTGAATGGGAGAAATCTTGGCAGTTTAAAGTGATGGGATTATACACTGATTATGACAGAAAATGGTAAAATAATAAGCAGGCTGCGATGTTTCCTTTCTCTCTTTTTCTTTTGAATACATTTTTCTTGATTGTTTTACGACCCAACAGCTACACATGCTGCTTCCCCATCCAAACTAAATAAATCCCACCCCAAATAAATACAATAGTCAAGTGCCCACTGTAAAATTATACATGACAGGCCTATAATGGGTGTGTAAAAATTGTATTTTTAGCTCTTTAAATGCTAGGTGGGAATGTTCAAACTTATGCACTTAGCTGACACAGCAACAAAAAAGTTTAAACAAACATCTGGATTTCAGCAAATTATAATTACAAAATTATGTCGCAGATCACTTCTGCTTTAACAGATAGCAACCTCCCAAAAGTTTCAAAAATATGAAGATTTTTTTCCTGGTCATGGTTCCATTCTCCTGCCGTGGAACAGCAATCAGAGGCAGATCATCATTCACCTTGCACTTCTGGATGTTAAACTCACTAACCACTGCTTAGATTGGCCTATAGACTGAATAGCCAAGCCAATATTGCACAAGCTGAATTCCTGCTTGCCAAATCAATGGTGCTAATCACGTTCCACATTTTGCTCAGTAGTTCAGATCCATGGAGAGGTTGTTGGCATCCAGATACCAAACAGAGCTCTATTGGAGTTCATAAGACTTTCTTCAGAAAATAATTTGTACAAAAAATAACTTCCATTGAAAATTCAGTGTTAACATGCGTCAGCCTGGCTCATGGAGCTCTCTCTCCTCTGAGTCAGAAGATTGTGGGTTCGAGCCCCACGTCGGAATTTGGAATCACAAAGCTAAGCTGGCACTCCAATGCAGTGCTGGGGGTTGTTGTTGCATTGTCAGAGGTGCCTTTGGATGAGGAGTTAAACCGAGGTCCAGTCTGCCTATTCAGGGGGAACGTTAAAGATCCCATGGTGCTGTTCGAAAAAAGAAGGGAGTTTCTCTCGATGTCCTGGCCAACAATCCCCCAAATAAAATTAGTCACTTACTCCATGGCTGTTTGTGGGACATTGCTGTGTAAAATTGGCTGCCCCAGTAGTCCACAAAATACATAGTCAATCTCCTTTACAGTAGATCCTGTGAAGCACTTTGAGACGTCTCAACGACTTGATAAGGCACTATATCAAATACAAGGATTAATTAACAAATTCAGCCTTTAAGATTACTTAAACTTCTTTCACTATATCATTTATCTTTTATGGCTGATCTGATGTTTTGTCATATTTTTCTTTTTCTAAGATGAACAAATACATTCAGGAGCAGAATCTTATTATCTTCTCAGGAGACTTCAGTCTACTGCCCTTCACCGATTGTAACTTCAAACCTGAGCTATCCTCCCCCCTTATTCCATCCATTCCCCTGGTATATCCCTTTTTTAACCTATATAATAATAATCCTTGCATTTTACATAGTCCCAATGCCTGTTAAATAAATAATCCTTGCATTTCATGTAAAGCCTTTCATATTGTAAGGATGCCTGAAAGTGCTTCACGTGATTTACTGTAAAGTTTTTTGACTGTATTTTGTAGTCAAATCCGGCAGCCAATTTGCATACAGCAATTTCCCACAAACAACCATAAAGTGAATTATCAATTTTATCTAAGTGACTGTTGGCCAGGACACTGAGAGAAACTCCCTTCTCTTTTCAAAGAGTGCCAGGTGTTCAGGTGGATGTTAAAGTGGATTCAAAAAGAGAAATCAGTTTCTTCCAGCCAACAAATAACATTGGTCATTTACCTCATGGCTGTGTGTGAAACATTGATGTGTGTAAATTGTCTGCCACATTTGCCTGCACTTTGGAGAAAAATTCTGATTTAAGATGTTTTGACAGATAAAGAGCTACATCAATTGTAAAGTTTAATATTATTTACCCCGGTGTCATGAACAACCCTTCAACACCTCTTTCCAGTAATCTGCTAATGACCCACAAACTCCTTTGCGTATGTAGTCAATAGGTTTCAGTTTTATAACATCTGCTTGGTCTGGTATGACTTTCTCTTCAGTCCTATAAGGGGGCTTCTTCTGCTTGATTGGTCCACTTCTGGCAAACGGTTACTTCTGAAACACGCTGTGTATTTTTAGTATTTTCTTTGTTTCAGATTTTCAGCATTTGTACTGTTCCTCCATGTCTCTGTCCCACAATCCAACACTAATGAATAACATCTCCATATTTTCCTGTGGAGTAAAACGATTGCAATGGCAGTGCTGGTTCTACCAGTTGGATATTTTGTCCAATCTCTTTACCAAAATCTCAAAGAATTGGCAACTCCAACATCTGGACAGGGGTGTACCACTCATTCATGTGTGTTGTCTCTGAGCCAAAAAAATCCTGACCCACACTAGGGTCTACATTGTATCAAAGTGCCATTGAAGCCTCATGTTGTGTAAGACTGGTATTGAGACCCTGATTTGTGAGACTGGTATTGAGACCCTGTGTGGTGTGAGATTAGAGTTTAATCCTCGCTTTATCTGACTTGTTGGTGCATTAGACGGAGAGTAAATGCAAAGGAGAAAGCATTCGATCCCCCAACATGGAAAACAAGTGTATGCATTGGTTATGTGAAGTGTAAGTACACCGTTGATTGTTGCGATGCACAGATACCTTTCTGCCAGCTTCGTTATTATGCAGGTTCATCAGTCTCCGGGCGTTTTTCTTGATCTCTCTTGCATCAACAAATCTCCGGGAGAACTCAATCCCATATTTGATGTCTGCCGAGCAGCCTCCCCATTTCCAGCCCTGCTCCTGGTTGTAGTAGCCCTGTTTCTCTCGGTCACACCCACAGTTGCTCAGGTTTCCCTGACTGCAGGCAGCAGTCACAGCATGAGCTACACCGGCTGCAGTGATTGCATATGTGAACGCTGCTTCTCGGCTCCCTGGAGACACAGAAGGGCAATGTTACTCATGAAAGAAACTTGTTACACATCGGCTGGCAGCAGCCTACCATTCAATTCATTGGATTATATTATCTATTTTCCCTTATTCTGAAGCATCTCTTACATTATCTGCGATTGAACAGGTAGTCATATTTCTTGAACTACACACTCACTGTGGAGAAATGTCTGCAATTTGGGTCCTTCCCCCATGTGGTCTGGAAATGGTGTTTCTCTTGATCTTTCTTGCATCCATAATCTCTGGGAGAGCTTGATCCGAACTTCATAATCTGCCAAGCAGCCTCTGCATTTCCATCCCTCATCCTGCTTGTCAAAGGCCTGTTTCTCTCGGACAGGAACAGTGGCAGCAGAGTGCAGGGCAGTCCAAGCCGGTCCATATACAGGCACAGGACACAACCCTGCTCCACCATTCATTTTAGTTCAGTAGTGACTTCAGTATTGAAAACTTCAGTATTGAAGTCACTAGGATTTGGAAATATTGCTCATCTTTAACCATCGTCACTCCTCCCTTTGACTCATTAAATTATCAGGAGATTATTTTCAATTTATTGCTGTGAAAAACACCAACGCACTTGTACCTCTCAGACACCTTCAAAGGAGCTTGTGCTCAACATAGAATGCTGCAACATAGAACTCGGGTTAATGCAAACAATAATAACATTTGTTTTGTTTGCCAACTCTTGAGATAGCTTCTCTATAACCAAATATGGAGTGTCCATAGCACCTCACCTTGCTTTTCTGAATCCATGCAGTAAGAACTTAAGAACACATAGAACAAGAAAAAATCATTCAGCTCAGTGAACCGCAATTATTTCGCAATTTCCCTCGAACGTTGTCAAGCAAGATTCATTATTTATTCACTTATTTATGGTAGTGAACTGGCTTATTTGCTCTCCATTAATTGACATTTGTGTCATCCACCTCTTCCAATCCAAGGATCAAAGAAACCATCATATCTCATTGTCCAAGTTTAGCAGATCAATCGGGCTGAAGTGCCTTATTTCGATGTAAGGGGGAGATTGGAGGGGCGGGGGTTTCTGATAGCTATGGAACCCTTTTTGGAGTGTAGTTGAACTTTCCAGTTCTCATCACAAGCTAAAGTTTACCTGATCATTAATGTTTTCTTTATTTTAAAAGTAAATTTCTCATAATGTTACAACAAGATCCATTTACTACACAGGTGTGTTTTGAAGCTGAGAAATCCATGATGCTTCCTTGGTTTATGCACCAACTGTCAGAGAAGATGGGAGGCAGGTTACTCACAGGGTTAACTATGGCTGCTCTGAACCAGTTTCCGGGCAAACAACCATAGTCTAAGGAAGACTTTCTCTTCCCTGTCCCTGCTATTTAATTGCAGACATCACTGTTACCTATACATATCCCATTACCTAATCCCCAAACAACTGTAAACTGCTCAGTCCTGTTACTTGTTTATATTTCACTCAGGTCAATAATATTCACTGTCCAAGGAATCCCCCAGCTGCCTCTTATTTTCCATTGTTCAGTCCACATTGAGGACAGTTTACAGGGAAAAACGATATTGAGTGAATTTCAACTTGCTGCCAGGTATCCATTATTCTTTATCTAATGTACAATCTGTTCATTTTTTGCAATTGCAGTGGAATGTTGCCTATCCACCGTGAGCTGTTATTCTCCCCAGGTTTAAATGCACTGTCCACATCCAGAGCCACACATACAATACAGCATTATCTATTGTTTCAATCAGCACAAGTCATTTAACATGCTGTTTTGCACAGGAATTTTCTACCCTAGTGTTTTGGGGAACAGTATGTATTTACGGTTCTGAACTTCCTTAGAAGCTTCTCAAATCTCAGTCCTGACGGGGTCAGCTATAAAAGGCTGTATTATACGCAATTCCTTGATCCCTGGTCATAGGAATGAATCGAGGAGGTGTATAAATTAAGTACTTGTGTATAGATCAACTTCTCAATCTATGCCGAGTAAGATGATCTAAGCCAAGACAACAGTTAAGCAATCAGCATACTTGACAATGGAGCTAAGAGATAGCTTGGGTTTGCACTCTTGATCACTACCCATTAAACCCTGCTAGAAAGCATACATGATTGGATATGAGATCAGGACAGCCCTGGACTCAGCAGGCATGGCACCCACACATAAATTGCCTGCTCACTCTCACTGTTTTGGGTCACAAGGTGAAGAGGGTCTTGGGTCAGACAATGCATGAGAGATCCTACTGCAACATGAGTCAGTGCATTCAGGAAGAAAACTGCAAACCAAAAGCAAAATTGGCAGCAACGAATGTGCTTTTGGACTCCAGCAACAGTTTTGTTCATATCAGTGAGGAGTTTCTGATTCTCATCTCACCTATGCTGCCAAAACGACTGTGATTCCCGAATATAAGAAAATGGAAATATGTACAATTTCCCTGTGGGAATAGATTAAGAAATCTGCCAGATGTAACTGCAATGTCTAATAATTCTGAAATGCAAACAACAGATAGGAATCAATTCTGATCTCATCATCCCAGGTAACACACAAGAAGCAAGATCGTAGCCCCTTTTAAAAAAAATGTACAGTCTGAAGGTAACCCCTTGATGAGCAGAATAAAAGAAGCAATTAAACTAAGATTGACAAAGCATGATAAATGCAGAAGTGACCTCTGATTCCATGAGTTTCTGCTCTTCCATTTTGTAACCGCAACATTAGATACCTCAACACAGTTTTTGTGGCTCTGGGTGCACAGTATAATACTACCTTCCAATCATTATGGGAAGAAGTATCAACACTGAGGTAAGTACCTACAAATGTGGCATCACATTACATGTTAAATTGTTCCTAAAACCACAAGACTAAATTCCATTTTTTATAGTCTTAAACTTTGTGTTCCATGAACACCAAAGAAAACCTAAGAACAATGTCCTGTAGAGCAGAACATCAGGGAAATAAGGCTTGTATTTCCTTTATAGAAAAATAATAGGACAAACCAGTAACATTCTCCCAAATCCTGCAAAGCAAGAGAAAAACCATTACGTTCACCTATGGAGGATAACACTAAAGAAAAACAGTAACTTCAGAGATCTCTTGTAAACTAGAGAAAGCCAGTTAAATCACGGATCTCACCAGTGCAGTGTTGGAGGAGCCATCCTTCGAATGAGATGTTAAACTGAGGTCCTGTCTGCCTATTCAGGTGGCGTTCATTTGAAAAGAAAAGGGAATTTCGCCCGGTGTCCTGCCAACTATTACCCAGATAAAATTGGTTATTCTTTTCATGTCTGTTTGTGGTACATTGCTGTTCACAAAGTAATGTTGCTTTTGCCTACAAAATACACAGTCACTATACTTAACAGTAAATACTGTGAAGGACTTTGAGGTGGCCTTCCACTGTGAAGGGCACCATATCAAATGCAAGGATTATTGTAACCATGGAAAAAATCATACCAGAGAAAACAGGCAACACCAGAGATTTCTTATAGACAATAACACAAGAGAAAAATAACATTAGAAAACTTCAATAGATCATAACATCAGAGACAAACAGCAACACCTATAAACAATAACTAATAAAACCAAAACATTTCCCACACGACTGGAAAACCAAGCCAGTCAGCAACTTCCAAATGCAGGAATCCCACTAAAATGCTCTCATATAGTATTCTAAACCACTGGCCTCCCATATCCTGGATTACGGTAGGTATATGTATTACTGTAAAAAATACAAAATGTTCTGAATGCAACTAGGATTGCTGACATATTGCTGATATCAATCTCACTGAACAGATACCTCTTAAGCAGAGGAAGCTGATAATTTATCTGTTAGCGATAGTCACAATGACAGGTGATATGCTTAGTTACCTTAACATAAATAATCTGAAATTAGATTTAACCACCTTACTGAACTCATTTCCTTTAAATGTGGGGGTGTTTGCACCAAGACAGGTGAATTTAATTGATGTTGCAATTGTCAACATAATAAAAGTCACTACACATCATAGTATAACCTATTGTATGAAATACTTTGAGATAATACTGCGATATAAAATTACTGAAATGAAATGCTTTATCAAATGGAACTATTAGTAATGTTACACTTGGGCTAATGTGTGTTAATTCAATTGTATTTTGTTTTTATTTTCAGCTTCCTATGAATGATCAACAGGAGCAGATTAAAAGGTAGGTGGAACCTCAACAGCAAGGAAATTAGATGTTGTTACTTCTGTTTCTATTCCATGGGTGCCTCCCTCTCTGCCTTCCAAAGGTTGCTGTCAATCATGCCCTTCATCTTACCCACCCTTACCCACACATTCGTCACATCAAGGCTCGATTATGGCAATTCCCAACTCTACCCCTCACAAGCTGCAGATCATCCAAAACTCTGCAGCTCGTGTACTCTCGCGCACCAGGCTCCGTGACCCCATCACTCCCACCCTCGCCCGACTCCACTGGCTCCCCATCCCTCAAGGATCGAATTCAAGATCCTCATCCTCATTTTCAAGACTATCCATGGCTTTGCCCCCTCCTACCTCTCCGACTTGCTGACTCCCTAACAACCTGCCCGCTCCCTCTGTTCAGCGGGCTCTGGCCTGCTCCATGTCTCCCACCCAACCCGCCCTACCATTGGTGGCCAGGCTTTCAGCCTCTCTGCCACCACACTCTGGAATCCATCCCATAGTCCCTTCACCTCGCTTCCTCCCTTGCCTCCTTCCAAGCCGTTCTCAAGACCGTCCTCTTCGATCATGCCTTCGGATGCCCTCCCACCTCTCTGCCTTCCCTCACCCCTACCCCACCCCTCCCCCATGTTCAGGTCCTGACCCCTGACTGTCCAGCACTTTGGGATGTCCTCCCGACGTAAAAGGCGCTTTATAGGTGTAATTTTGTTGTTGTTGTCTTCAATATCTTTTAAACTACGCTTGGGCTCTTGTGTAACCCAGGGACCACAACAATTAATGATAGAGAAGTAGAATGCAGAAAAGCAATTGCTACCTATGTGTATCTATGCAAAG